CATTGAATGCAGTAATATTGACAATGATCTTTAATCTGAATCAGACGCTTGTCAAAAATAGATTTAATACCTTTCTATGCCAATAAATTAAAATAATTGAAAACTCAATTCTTTTTTATGACAAAACACAGCTTTGTTTTCTTTTCAATAGAATTTATTGTCAATAAAATAGAAGTCTACTTAATTCAGTCTAGCCAGGTTTTCAGTATTGATATTATCTTTTCAATTCATAGCATCTCATAATAAATATTTATCATTGACCATTTTAATAATCAATAGGATCTATAATTATACTATTCTTCTCTTAGGATGTTCATTCATACACGGCTCTATAGTAATCGTAGATACACAGATAATTTAAAATCAGATAAAACGTCTTTAATCACTAGCTAGAACTTTTCCCAGTAATTGAGCTTGGATGTTTATATTTTAAAGTAAAGAATATAATCAAACTCAATAGATATATTGTGGAACATCATTCTAAGAAAAAGATACGATAGTTTGTTCTTTTCTAAAAGAAAAGTTGTCGCATCCTTACCTGGTGTTATTAGAAGGAATACGCTATAAATGTCAGTGCAAGTCAATTAAACATTTTGATAGGAAGTTACATGACTATTTACATCTATTTGTTCCTGCTTGTCGTATATGATATCGAAGAAAAATGTTTTATTTTTACCAAATGTTACTTAACTCAATAACATCATGACATGGTGAACTGACATATCATCTTTACATAGTGCTATATGAGTAAACTTGCGGATTACGTTCATCGATGTTTTTCAACATCGTAGTTAATTATATGCTGTGCTTTGAAGGGGCAGGCATCGTATTCATTATTTTGGTCGAAAAGTAAAAATAGATAAAATATCCGATATAAATAGAAAATGTTCATACTCAAAAATTCAAACACCGACGCTATATAAATTATGATGCAGTTGAAAGACATGATGAATGGGGAAATGTTTGAATAGACACAAAGCATACATCCAAACATGTATACTTATTCAAAATGTAACTATAGTACACGGTATTGTAAATTTATCGATACAATAAACATTTCTTTATTTTTTCTCTAATTTCTTATTGCAAACATCCAAAAGTATTATTTTTTCAAAAAATAAAATAAAATTGCAATTGAAGATAATTCCTTTTTGAAAAGATTGAGAATATTCTAAAAGCATCTTTTTTAGCAATTTATAATAGTTGACTATATGAATACATAAGATTTGAGTGATGCAATCCAAAAATATGTAAATGAACAAATGGGCAATAGTTTCTAAAATAGATGATCTCTTGATAATTAATGGTATTTTCTTCCTACCCTCATATGTTATTTCTACGAAAAGATAATATGATTCTCATGTAGTTATTTTCGTAACTTTTACTTAACATGAAATCTATTGTGTTATCATGTTATAAGTAAAACAGTTAGGGGTAAGAATGTAACAATACCATTTGGAGACACATAAAGATAGTCAATTTTCACAATGAAAATCTACTAATACCAACAAATAGGTTGTGTTAGTTATAACCAGCGAAGTTAGTTCTATCTGGTAGGAGTATATAAAATATCAATACCAACAGAAAAAATCCGCAGTATTGGTGAGTATTGGTAAAAAAAACGTAATTTTCACGAAAAATCACCAATACTGGGAATCTTTCTGTTGGTATTGGTAGATTTTCATTGTGAAAATTGGCAATCTTTATGTGTCTCCAAATGGTATTGTTACATCCCTAGTTAGGGGTATGAGTGTGATACTTTCTTTCATATACACCCACGCATACCCACACCCAAACTTTATATCAGTATTTGTCTCAAATTTAGTAATCACATTTTTATTTCCAATGAAATTCATCATTTACTGTTACTCATAGTACACATGAGAGGTGACCAATTCTATTTAACTTATATTAAATAATAGCTTCTGGGTTTGTATTGAATTTTTACTGGCTTGCATTTATTTGAGTAATAAAAGTATGGGAATGAGTAATAATTAAAGTACAATTTCGCTATATCTTTTGAGCAATAAGAAAAATTCATTTAAGTAATAAAAGTTTATTTGAGCAATTTTATAATTTAAAATTTGTAATAAATAACTTATTACATGACAGTAATAATTTAATATTTTAAAAAGAAAAAAAAGAAAAACTATATTATTGTTATTTACAATTGCAGATTAAAAAAAATAGAAAATGAAGTAGATCATTGTCAATGAAGCCTTTTTATGCTTTCGATGGTTCGTCTCCTTTTCTTTTTGTGCCGATTTCCACATTTTTTTCCCTCTGTTAGGTGTCCGTATGAATTAAGAGCAAAACTACACCCCACACTAAAGCGCATCAAGCCCAAAAATGTATGGATCCGGACCCGAACGAGTATCCGATTGATTAAAATGCTTTGGATACAATGAACGAAAATTCAAAACAGTTGATAAATTATTGTTATATGGATCAAATTTTTCTGTCAACTGATATCCGATCACTAAAATGTTTAGATCCGCACCCAAACCCATTTTCATCTATTCTATTTTTTTGCCTTTTTTTAACCTACTCGCTGTTATTAGAAGAATGCAGTTGCATATCACTGCCCCCTTCACAATGAGAAATATATTGCGCTACACATTGTGATTGAGAAATTTGTATAAATTATATTTTCTATTTCATAAAACTGAAAAAATATCTATTTGAGTACGTGTAAATAGGTCAATCCATATTGCCCTGTTTATGTACAATTTATCACTAATTGAAGTTAATTATTTCTCATTCAATATAACTATTACTCATTCACTATAATTATTGCTAAATTTGATTATTGCTCATTCCAATATTTTTATTACTCAATTAAATATAAGTCATTTTCACTAATTTAAGTTAGAAGAGAATAACTTTGTAAAATTTTTCAAAATTTAAAGGAAGATGGCGGATAAGGCCGTTTTGCAGCCCCCCTCAGGTTTGAATTATTTCTATCAGCTATTAATCAGGGATCGTTCTTCATCACTTTTTTCAACTTTGTTTATCGAAAATCGACATCGACAATTTTTTGTCTGGGGTACCGGGTACCCCAGAGGTATCATCGAAAACAAAATTTGTTTTATCACGAGCCAAAGCCAGATGTAATTGTAGATTTAAGGGTACTAATTACGAATATCACAATAAGAGCTCAAAAAATTCGTTTACTCCTTATAAAGCGTGAACCACTCGTTTTTGACCCTATTTTTCATTGTTGGGACCGTTATACAATAGCATTTGTTTTTAAATTAAGTAAAAAATATGTTTGCTAACCAAAAATGTTGAGTTCTTTACGAATCTAAACCTTTGACACCGAAAAAATGAATCATTTAGAAAAAGAGATGGCGATTCGGTGGCAAAATTTAGCTTTTTTTAAATGTATAATTTCCCCATTAGTAGCTTGTTATGAAGAGAGTATTGTCGCAACGTCAAATTTTGATCGTAAGCGTAACTTGTCAAGCTCTATCGACTGGAGATCTCGAAAATAATAGAAAAGTTGTGCAACAGTATCAAAAGTTAAGAATACTAATAATTTCTATAAAATTGATGTACGGGACCACAGCCACGATTATATATGAGATCTTGATGAAATCAACTGATATGTAGCCCACCCTGGAGAGCTTAATCAACTGTACATATAATAAAAAATTATCAATCTCCGCTCTTTCTTTCCGTTCAAAAATTCATGTGAAATTTTACTTCCTTGCAACGACTCATACATCTTGTGAAGCGAATTTGTGAATCGAAAGAAAGAGCGGAGATCCATAATATTTTTACTGTGTGTGGGTGTGGGTGTGGGTGTGGGTGTGGTCATTGGCATTCAAAACCATCACACCCAGGCACCCACACTCTAAATAAAACATCTGGGGAGAATTTAGTACATATGCTACACTTCCTGTTATACTACCAAAATGTGTTTTTCCGAAAAAAGAAATTTTGGTTAAAGAGATACAACTGGATCATTTCTCGGTAGTATTACGAGCGATTGTTTGATTTTGTTCCCTCACGACAGCTGTTGCACACAATCATAAGAAAAGAGCAAAAAGCTACTCATTCTTGCTTTTTCTTTCTCGAGACTGATTGAATTTGTTGATCTTCGACGCTTTTTCAAGGATTTTTTTACAATAAAGAATTCTATTTTCTGGTACAACTTAAAAGAAAGAAAAAAAGCACACCCACATTCAACCTTCTGTATAGATTTCATTCTTTCTTAGTTGATAGGAAATCAATGTGAATACAAAAATAATCGAAATCAACATTATCATTTTCACTCCACGTAATGTAAGTGATATTCATTATGTTATAGTCTGTTTGCAGAGAAAGCATAAAGGAAGATAAATGAGGCGATAAATAATCCATAATGGCAGAGAAAATGATTTCACATAATTTGGGTGTGGACGTTAGCATTCATTATTTTGTTTTTCTTATAAACAGGGCCAATACCGAGATCTGATATACTTCTGATAAAATAGCGATCTTTTAAATGAATGCTTTCGATATGAGAACATCTAATCGGTGAAATTTCAAATTTACACGACGATAAACTTGCATTAAAATTCATATCAACACTTCCAAATGTTTCTGGCTTTTTTTCTACAAAAAGTGCTTTAGAATTTACTATTGCTTCATCATCATCAGGTTCTGTTGCAAGTAATGAAAGTTACTGACGAAAGCTAAGAAAAAAAATGTTTACTTAATCCAAAATATTCTTCATTTCTATAAGAATGTTATAACTATAAAGCCAGCTATTACAGTTTTATTCATAGTTTGCTATCTACAATGCAAAATAATAGAATAAAATTCAGACAGTGGCTGTTTGAAAAATATTTAACCTACGGTTATATTTGCGTATTTTGTGAAAATACCTCATATTAACGTTTTTAATGAAGAGATCCTAATGTGACCATAAGTGTTGAGTCGACTTTCTTAGAGACATCTTTACCCTCAAGAAGTGAAAAAAGCAGTCTATTCGATATTTCAGATTTTGATAAAACATGGCAGCTGCTCAAATAACTGCATTTCCTCGTCGAAAATTAGCACTTATTATTGGCAATGATAACTACAGCAAAACATACAACAAACTGAATGGTTCTGTCAAAAATGCAAAAAAGATTCGTAATTTACTCAAGCAAATTGCTTTTGATGTCACGATACATACCAATATTGATGCAAACATGATGGAATTGATACAAAATTTTTGTGAACAGATTGATAATGGAGACTTAGTTTTATTCTATTATTCTGGCCATGGTTGCCAAGTCAATGGAGAAAACTATCTGATACCTATTGACGATTCTAATATAGAAGCTGAGACAGATGTAGAAGATATTGGTATTCTTGTGAAAAATATACTAAAGAGGCTAATCGAAAAAAATCCTTCGTACGCCACTATAGCTATCTTTGATTGTTGTGTACCATACAACTTACAAAATCCAACGTCATCAACTCGTAAGTAACGTGTTGTCTGATTTCTAAGAATTAAGTTCATGTCTGTGTGTAGCCATGGTGGAAGACCAAACCCTAGGTGAAATCGTGCCAATTAGTGGAGCATTTGTCCAGCTTATATGCACTGCTAAACAAACAGATAGAACTGATCAGGCAACAAATACAGATAATGTGTTCAATAAACACTTAATCAAGACCCTCACTAGAAAAGATGTTGATATCACCAATATTTTTCAAGACATAGCCATGGATGTTCAGCAAGAAAGCAATCAAACTCGGCAAATATTATTTATGCACGGATTACTCAGTGGTGGAAAAATATTCCTCAATAAAGTTTCGAAGAGTATGTATTAGACGAAATTGAATGCTGAATTTATGAGTCTACTTTCTTCGAGTTGTAAACTGTTACAACAAAGTTTTAAATGAGTCAATATTGCCAATTATCTTGATATGAATACAGGAATATCTTAGGATGGTTGGATAATCATTTCGTCAATCTTATTTTTTCCTTATTCTAGCTTTCTAGAGTGAGTCCATGTTTTTGATACAAACTGTTTTTCCCATCAACTCTTAAAAAACAGAAATTTTGAAATTTTTTCTGACCATGATCGAATTAGGTCTTATAAAATCATGAACTTTGCTCATGTTTCAGTATGATGATATAATGAAACTATCTCCACTACTAATTAAATTGTATTTAAAGATACGTAAATTCTATTGAGAGCTGAAAAACATTTACATTCTTTATCAATTATATTTTTTTCTTGTTGCAGTTATACCAAATGTTCCAAAAGATGCTAAATGGAAATTTTATGCTAAGACAGTTGCTGGTGATGGTCGTTGCAGTTCTACATCCCGACGACTGTATTGTCCTAAAGGCATTCACGTGAATAAATATCAATATGTTTACATTGCTGATAGTTTGAATCATCGTGTTATGAAATTTACTAGAGGTACAAACACTCCTCGAAGGATAATTAGTCGAAATATATCTGGATATGGTCCTGAACGTCTATGTGGACCATCCAATATAATTTATGACTATCAGTCAAAGAGTTTTATTATTTCTGATTATTACAATCAACGAGTGTTACGATGGTGTCAAAACAATAGTACATGTACAGAAACCATAATTGAAGGCAGTGACTATTTTGGATTAGCTATGGACGATGAAGGTTTTCTCTATGTTTCTGATACAGGAAGGCACGAAGTTAAACGATATCGACCAGGTGATCACGATGGGATAGTTGTAGCAGGTGGCAATGGACAGGGTGCCCATCTTAATCAACTAGATCATCCCACATACATTTTTATCGGGCCAGATAAATCTGTGTATGTATCGGATACTTGGAATGATCGTGTAGTTAGATGGGATAAAGGAGCAGCTGATGGCGTTACTGTGGCTGGTGGTCAAGGCAAAGGAAGAGATCGATCACAGTTGAATCATCCTACTGGATTGATCGTCGATCAGTTTGGTACAATATATGTAGCTGATTATTGGAATCATCGAGTGATGCGATGGTACAGAGGTGCCGCTCATGGAGAAAGAATTGTGGGTCATAAACTGTTGTCAGGCTACAAGGCAGATCAGTTGAATGGTCCCGAAGGTTTAGCATTCGATCGATATGGCAACCTCTACGTAGCTGATTCGAATAATCATCGAATACAAAGATTTCGTATTGAAGCTGATTGACATTTTTTTTATATTAAAAAAAATATCATTAGAGACAAACAGGAAAGAACTTCTGCTTTCTTAGTAGAATTTTCGACGCATTTGATATCGAAACATTTTACTTTTTAATTAATACGGATATTGATTACTCGAAGAAAATTGTGAATGATTTCTTGTTAAGGAGAATATATGGTTCATGTCTCTACGTTTACCCCTCTCAATCATATAGCATTGTAATAAAAAACAAACGAAAATGGCATGAGTCGCTAATTATTGTACTGCTAGAGCCTATTAATTTGAGATAAACGTAGTTTCCATAGTCGGAAATAGATATTGTCATTTGAACCGCTTCACACCCGTCAGTTAACTGTTCGGTTAATTGCGGTTCTCCAACCGGATTATTTTTAAACACTTCCAAAATCGTGAGGCATTTATCTGAATTATGATCCCTTCTATTTATCAACGCACTGAAGCCACTGGTAGAAGCTAAATGATCTATATTCACTTGTCCCTAGACTGACAGTGCTGAGCAGGAGAAATGCATGGATAAGACAGAAAGCGATTGTTTGTGCCAGAAGTTGGTGATGACATTTTCGAAGAGACTAGTCGATAAGCTGAAGGAAGATCTGTAAAAGTAGTGGGCATGCAGTGTGAGTCCGAAGAATCATTTCATTAATACAGTGCCACCTACACTCACACATTTTAATTCTGATGGTTCCTGTGGCTAATGATATTTTTATTTGTCGGTGTTCCAATCGATCTGAAAACCACAGATAACATATTTCGGATCTTATGTTTTCTATTTGAATCTAACACAGTTATAGCCTATTCATAAAACGACCATCATATAAAGCAGAATATGATGCGAATAAATCGAAATTGTGAGAAATTAAAATGATATGGATAAGTGTTTCTTTACTTTCAAAAGAAAAATCAACGGTCATAAAATTGAGTGCAGCATTTAATAGTTTCTTCCATAATTAGAAAGCGTTTATATGAGTGCATCTTTTCAGTTTTAGTTTATTTGTTTTTATTAAATTAAGCATTTTTCAAAGCCGCGTCACACTGAAGAATGACTGAATAAATTGATTACACATTACGCTGTCTTCTATCATAAAAAGCCTACAATCTGTAGAATAATTAGAATTCGCATCGAATAACAAACAAACAAATTCATCGCTTTTCCACACATAAAGCATCGTCGATGTTTTTTGGCTTATAGTATAAGCTGTAAATCTTTACTTGATTCGGTTGCCGCCTTAAGTTTGGTTTTGCCAGAATCAGATATAGTGCAAAGTCCAACATTGAGAACTTTCAACGATCGATTATGTTTGATTATTTCAACTAGTAAATCAACACTCGAATCATTCACCAACTTATTTTCAGCTAATTCCAATTGTTCCAAAGTTGTATTATATTTCGTAAGTGCTTCAGCTAAGTATACTATTCCCCGATTACCTATTTCATTAGCTTGCAATTGTAAATGAGTTAAAGTACGATTTTTCTGAAGCATTACAGCTAGATCTTCTGCGCCAACGTCTGTAAGACCAATCGAGTTAAGACCAAGTATTTTGAGAGTATGATTACTTGATGTGAGTATTTGCGCCAGAGAATATATGCCCTTATCGAATAAATGATTACCATGCAGATATAGCGTATGCAATTTTGAATTTTCACTCAATGCCAAAGCTAAAATTGACATACCTTCCGAGGTAATTTCGTTGTCCTGTAAGTCAAGATAAGTGCATTGTTTCTTCTGAATCGCTTGTTCAACAACAATAGTCATGTCTTGATCAGTTAGTTTATGGTTGTCTAATTTTATTAATAAATTATTCTCATCGCATAAGAATTGGCCGATTCGGTCTTCAAGTATTGGATTGGAATAATTCGTAGTCATAATCAATTTGAACTCTAAAAACAGGAAGTAAGCATCTTATCTTATTATTTATTTGATTAATAAGGTTTTTATTGAATCCGTCTAGGACTAGAATAATTAGACTGCTTTGTCTTCTTTTTTGCCGTGTAGCCTATACGAAAAACGTAAGGCTTACTCATTACAGGCACTAATAACATAGCAGGGGTCGCAACGGGCCGCCTGACCCGGTGGACCGACCCGGACCGGCTTGTTTTATTTTTTTTTCTTATGAATCGAACATAACTGGTGCGTCAGCATAAATGGCGATCTCAATATTTCTTCAATATTCCTTTCAGCTTTCATAGTTTCGGGCTGACTTTTATACCAAAAGATTCAGCCTTGAATGCTCTATAAAACCATAAAAAAATGAATCACCTGGAGATAGAAACAAAGCAATTATTATAGTAATACTTCTAACAAACATCGATATCAACTTTAAAGAACTTGTATTCAAATTAATTTGCGTTTTTTCTTGCTAGTGAAATACTTTTAGAAAGCTTCAAAGTAATATTTCTGATGCGATGATGAGCGCACTATATAATGAAACATACGAAAGAATATTTCAACGAAAAAATATTGACAAAGCATTCAGTTTTTGGTCATTTAGTCACCCTCTGGCATATTTCGGCATTTTATTTGAATCTAGTCGCTAGGAAGTGATACTTCTGCAGAATTAAGGTATAACTCCATGATATTCCATAGTGCCAGTCTGTACCTTTAAAAAAAGACAGAAAGTTTTCACCAAAAAATAGTACTTGGTCGACTAATATAAATTTTTCAAGAAAACGGAAAATTATTGGTAAAAACGCGTTTTTTAGAAAATTTAAAGAAAAAGTAATACTTATTTTATCCAGCATGTTTTGATTATGAAATTATTTCAGTATATTAATAAGATAGACCTTTTGAAGCTCTACACAATCGGCAGTTCAATTTGCCTCTATAGCTCGATATGAGCACACATAAATACAAGAAGTTGTAGTTCGTGCTCTAAACTTGTTGATGTTACTTGTTTTGAGTATTACTGTCATAATATTTTTGTTTCTATCTCCATACGATTCATTTTTTATGGTTTTGTAGAGCATTCAAGGCTGAATCTTTGGGTAAAAAAGTCAGTCCGAAACTATGAAAGCTGAAAGGAATATTGAAGAAAAACTGAGACCGCCATTTTTGCCGATGCATCCGTTACTTATGATATTTTTTGTTATCATATGAATTATGTGATCTTATGAAATTTATTAAGAAATCACAGTCATACTGTGTACGCGTAGGTAACTTTTTCTAAATACTGCATTAAGTTTCAATCTTATTAATCTCAAATATGATTAAAAGATAGTTCATCGGATTATGTCGGTCCGGTCGGTCCAGACAAATCAACGGGTCGGGTCGGTCCATGAAAAGTTGGACCGTTGCGACCCCTGTAACATAGGGGGCTACCATTACAGACCATAGCAACTAGTGCCTCCCATCTTTAAAGATACCAGCTAACAAGTAACCAACTGTTACAGGCATAAGTAAATAGGTGATGCTCTACTTATGGATTTTAGAAATCAAGGTAGATTTTTTATTGAAAATGTTTTTCACTAGTTTAGCAAGCCTAAGGGATATATATGAGTCCTACACTTTAGCCCAAAAGTAGCTGTGCTAACAACCTGTCCTTCAAATGACTTAGGTATAAACAGTAACTTGACAAATGAACAAAATAGAATATTACTGATCAGCATTGCAAAAAACTCGAAGTCGATTTGAATCTTTACTCCTATTCTCCGACACTCACCATGATCATGATCAACAAACAATATGTTGATTACTTGTCTACTGCAATAGGTGCTCGCAAAAGTGTTAAGGTTGCACTATTGCAACAATCATCACAACCAGAACAACAACAGAACAGAACAAAGTAAAAGCTATCGAATCGTTTTGCTTCTATTTGGTTTGAAAAGAAGTAAATAAGAGAAGTACAGAAAGAAAAATAGTATCGAACAAACCTAAATTCAATTTCTTCAATTGTTGATTAGCATGAAAAAAAGAGTGGAATATGCTGTGAATTTTTGGCCAGAATGATTTAAAATTTTTTCCATCCATTTCAATCAAACTTTGTCCACTGTTCAGGGTTAGCCCGAGTGGTTGGGTTGTGACACCCCTTCCACCCACTTTTTAAGAAAATTTGATTCTTTTTGCTCTACAGAAATTTCATGTATCGGTTTTCTTATTTGGTTTTGAGATTTTCATTCTTTACAATTGAGTTTTAGTTATTACTATTCGAAGACAAATGAAAAGAGAAGTGTAGATGATTTATCTTTTTCTAGTTCACAAACACACGTACTGCTAGAATAAAACTTCATTAATGCATTTAATACCTATATGGGAAAATTTCCCTTACCATCCCCTAAATTTTCAATAATCGGGCCAGCCTTGCCATTGTTGAGCATTGAGTTCCAAATTTCAAAAACGTTTTCACGATAGGCGTGAACACGGATGATCTTACAAATTTATTCATAGACGACCCTTCTTCGAGGACTAATCTGGTACAAATACAACTTTTAATAATCTTGAGGGTGTGGGTATGGATCCTCGATTCTGTTTAACCAAGCCCACACTGACGCCGACACCCATAAATAGAAAGAGCTTTCTTTATTCTGGTGTATCCATTTTCCTGAACCCTCTTTTTATTTAAAATGAAATTTAATCGTGAAAAATCCAACAATGACTTGCAGTCGTAATGGCGTAAGTCGTAATAGTATGAAGTTCTCAAAAAAAATTTTTGAAGTGATAGAGAAAAAACTATAATACTATTCAATTAAGCTTCTTTAATAAGTATGCCATAAGGTCGAACGTCTTCAGGATTCGAGACAACCCAAATACTATTGTCAGAAGCAAATGTGACACCGTCCGGACTCACAGCTACTTGCAGCATGCATTTGAAATTTTTTCTCCCTTGTTGTGTATCACATTGAACAACTCCGACATATCCTTTTTCAGGAAATGTAGGATCTGGAGAACAGTAAACACCGGATCCAAATGCAGCAACTCTTGCCGGGCGAAACCCTGTTTTATAGATACTAGCGATAGCATCGACTGGCGCATACTGTTGATCGAACGATTGTTTAGACTTATTAAAATCGGCTGCTGATGCCCTTCCTGTCCCATGAAAAGCTCGGTACCAATTTCCAGGATCTTGAAATGGATGCAACCAATTATCTCCATTGGAGTATTTGCCCCGTACTTTCAATCCATATCTCGTCCATCCAGCTGGTGAAGTGTACTTTTGAGTTCGTCCAGGCGGGCCAACTTGATAAGTTTCGGATGAATCCGGAAACGTTTTATTTCCCTGTTTATCAAAGGAAGAAATATCAAACGCTGGACGACACAGTAATGGATGAATTTTAGCATCTGAAAATTGTTCAAATTGATCTTTTAGGTTTTTTTCAAGTTTCGGAAGCGACTCCAAGGTACCGGGTATCCAATTTTTTACAGTGTAAGCGAAATTAAATGAGCCAACATATACGGCTGTTACGCTAATATTCTCTTTATCGGTCTGATGCGCTTCTGATAATCGGCCCAACACATCTTGAATAACTGGATGAACTTTATTATTCTGAATAGATTCTGTTAATATTCGAGCAAACCTTATAGCACCATGCTCAGTTTTTGGTCCCATGCTGCCTCCTAACCCATCACTACTGTTTAGTTTTAATATAAATGGTCGTTCTTGTGAGCTAATTTCAGTCAAAATGCCGGAAGAATCATGGAGATCTTTACCATGAGTAGAATCGTAAAATAGGCATTCAATGTTTTGAGCTTGAAGCATGTTCTTCAATACATGACACACAGTAGCTCTTTCAGTAACGTTTCCAGAAGGTACACTTTGAAGAATTGAGTCCGTAAATGCTTTGGCTTCTTTAATTTCTGGCTTTTTATCGTTCGTAACGTATTCTATACTTGGAAAATTGTCATAGTACGCTTTTATTTGTGCATGCGCCTTTTTGGTTAATTCGAGGTTGCCTTCACTCTTTTCATCCCATTTATCATCAAAGAATTGTATAGGTTGTGGTTCTGTTAAAATAAACAGACGTGTCAATGACAAAAAAAGATCATTGTCTATAATCTGTGAAGACCAATAACTGCAAAACAATTTATGATAATAATGAAACTTTGGAAAATACATACTAAGTAAAAACCCTAATAAGTAACTATAGATGTAAGCGAAGTCCCATCTGAGGTTAGACTTCACTATATTCAATGTGTGTTGATCACTAGCAGATGTTTTATTCCGTCGAAGTTTATCATCGGTACACAATTCAAGAGATTGATGTACCCTAAATCTTTACACTATTATCGCATCCTAAAGTGAAAAAAGATTTTCCACAAACTTGTTTTCATTCTAAAGAGCCAAGTATACCAATACAAAGCATATGTTGTAATTATTTCAGCTATTCAAATACCCCCCTGAAGAAAAAGTTTGTCCAACATAATAGAAGATCCACCTTTAATTTATTTATTTTTTGCTAATTAGTAACTTTAATTTGCGTTTTTCCATCAAAATATGCCTGATTCTGAGCATTTTAAGCTTAGAATATTAAGAACACGTGTTCACAATTATAATAACACCCTTATAACCCTGAAAAATCCTGATGTAAATCCTGAATCACCTTAGTTTTTTGGAAAACCTTTAAAATTAAATATTAGGAAAAAATGCGGTTCTTAATACAAGCCCCCCCCCCAGAAAAATTTTTACCCTGAAACATAATAGAAGACCCGGGGTCTTTTATTGTGGGGGGGGCGCCCCGCGCTAGTAGCAATGGAGGACAAATTGCCAAGATGCTTCAATAGGTTCCCATTCACTGAAATATTTAAATCTTTAATATGTTCGAAGTGGACTATTTTATAGCAATTTCAACTAACAAGTGTGCATCCTTAAAGTCGTATTTTAACCTATTTCTTCTTTGTTTTAAATACAATAATTTCATTTCCAGGAAAACAGACGACATATTTGACATCCGTATATGATCAATTATGGAGATTCTATAACCAAAACCGATGAACATCAATGAACTCTTCAGTATACCTGTTCTCAACAGTAAAGCATGACTTGTATCTGCTCAAGTAACGTAATGTGATGCACGCATGGAAAAATATCCTCATCATCATAATCATTATCATGAGGTATTTGGCTGTTTTACTTTTTGGAGTGCTCATTTCTGATAATTAGATGTTCACTGTGTTGGTTTTAAATATTTTATATGACTTATGTTTAACTCACGTTTCGCAGGCTTGATCACCTGATTGAAATAGACTGATCCACTTTCCTGAAACTTGTTTATAGAAAATGGCATTTGTTTACGACTGCTTTCTTTGTAGACATCATTGGTTATGTCTTGGAAAACCTCAGTGAAATCGACATTTTCTCGAGCAATATTTTTCAGCAAGTGTTTGGTGAATAAACTGTTACGATCCGTTTCCACTGCGTCTCTGATTGTCTGATTGGCAGCACAAGCGTATTGGACGAATGCTCCAACTGGTGTCCTGATTTCAGAGAGGGCTGTGACTTTGGTCGAAGCTAAAGAAACATGAACATTATTTTTGCAAAATTATTAGCGATCATAGTTACTATTGGATGTTGATGCATTTTCCATCAAGTATGGTTTACAACAATCCAATATAAAAACGGTTAAGTACGATGGGTTTATTTCTACTAGGCGTTCAAGCGTTCGTTCGATGTTGACTGAGAAATCTTCAATATCTGTTTCATTTTCTATTTTATTATCGTCAATAGGTATGATATAATTTTTTTTAATAGCCTGACAAGCATGACCAGAAAAGTAGAATAAGACCAAGTCACCGTCTTTGATAGTTTTAGCAAAATCAATGATAGCCGTGGTTAGTTGTCTCTTGTTTGAATCGCACACCCTTGTCACATCGAAGTTGATTGTTTTGAGCACATTACTCAGGTCGTTAACATTGTTATTTGAATGATTTAATCTGTTATATGGCTTCCTATAGTTATCGTTGCCGATAATCAGTGCTAATTTTCGATGAATTGAGGGATGCTCCTTCGATACTGCCATATCTTTAAGTATCTAAAACTATCTCATAAGATCATTCCACGTTATTGCGCGCTCAGTGGCTGTGCTTCCGTTTGATTTTCATCGCCAGAAAGCGCAATAAGGTTCCCTTCTAAGTTTCAACGTGTTATTCTAAAGCAACTAATTCCCCTTTTAAAAAGCTTTCGATGTGGTTGGTATAATTTTTAAAGATGCTTCAGGAAATTTTGTATATTAAGTTCATCTGGTTGATGCTCTACAGCCGATGTAAAAATGCGCAGGCGAACAATCAAATCAACATCATATGTATTTAATCAATTTCATTGTAATGATTGGCGTAATTTTGTGAAACACGATCTGAAAGGAGTGTTGAAGTATATAGGGTAGAAATTTGAACCCATCCCCTGGCCCCCCACAGACAGGGACAGAGAAATTAATTAATTAATTAGCTGATTAATTAATTAATTAATTAGCTGATTAATTAATTAATTAATTAGCTGATTAATTAATTAATTTCTCTGTCCCGGTCTGTGAAGTTCTATGAATTCTCTGTCGCTATCTGTAATGTTTTTTTTAAGGCTCTGTAATTGTCTGTGATGGCTTCTGCTGTCTCTGTTATGGTCTGTGGTGGTTTTTGAAGTCTGCGCAACGGTCTGCGATGGTCTCTAGAGACTTCAAGCATCATAATAAAGATACAGACCGTGATGGAGAAGCTCCACAGACCATCACAGACCGTGGTAGATGGATTCCAGAAAACGAGCTTTATCGTGTTTCACATTTTAATCCCACAGGGATTGCGCTAACAGCTTTTTTCTCATGAAAAAAAGTACTGTAGGTAATATTTTATGCACATCTGAGTTTTGGTCCAGCGGTGAGACAAGAAGGGTGGAATGAAACATTATAATCTAAATTGCTTATTTATTGTTTTTTTTACTAACTATTTCAGATGTAAAACCACATGAAATTATTAAAATGGTGGTTCATTACGTGTCAAGTTGCATTCAGTTTTTAATATCCTATAAGCTAAAGAATAAACAGCGCTTTTTACCTACTGTGGTGAAATTAGAAAGAAATATTCGTTCAATTTGTAAATTTGAAAGATGTTGGTAAGCAATATCACCAATTTTTTATGTTAGCTGAAGCTCCATTACCCGAGTCATAGCTAGGTCTTAGAAGTGAACTACATTACGATGTATGATGTGGAGAGAAAACTTGAATGAGAGAGAGAGAGAGAGAGAGACACCGTTTTATATAAATTTAGTATGCTAAGTCAGTGCTTAACAAATCATGTAGGGTCCAAACCAGTAGAATCAGAGAATTTATTGTAGATGCTTGAAAAAGTGATTCTACCTTTACGATTATGCATAGTTTTCATTTCCTAAAAACACAGCGCAAAAAGTCGGATAATAGGCTCAATAGAATGTCAGCAGTGAAAATGCCTCGTTACAACTAATCCCCACTATTTTTATTGACTTGAATCGAATTAGAATCATAAAAATTTGGTTCGTTTCAGTTTCTGATGGTTTTTAGGATGTTTCAGTAGTGAAGCCGACAGTACCCATACTTATGCCTATATTCATTCGAACAAGTGCATCATTTTCTAAGCCCCATGATCAGCACATTCCTTGTATTGCAAGAAAGGCCAAAAGCCCCCCCCCCCATCTCTAGACAATTGGGTGCAATACAATGTCATCATAGGATTCTGTGCATATCGTTCACTTTCATATGAAACATTAGTACGTACAATCGAAGCATTTCAATAAATAAAGAATGCTTAGTACATTGATTTTAAGACTTATGTAACTTTTTGAAACAATTCTTAAGATAGATTGCATTAGTATGTGTTCTCTAACATTTCGGAAATACAAACAGAAAAAAGTTTGGCTCTATTCATACTCAAATGACATAATAATGCAATTATTTAGATGATTTTTGGCGAAAATCGATTGAAACCAATTGAATCATTGATTTTATATCGAATTTTTACAAACAGCAGCAGCAGCAAATCTTAATATGAGGACACGGAGTTTTGCTTACTTTTGAGATTCATATCTCCTGACTAGAAAATGAAAGAAGCCTGCAATTTTTTTTTCAAATTTATATCCATGAGATATTGTTACATTGCAAATTTTAGTCTTCCAGAGAGAAGTTTTCAGGCAAGAAACTTTGGGCAAAATGTTTTTCTCCCCAAAATTCCTATTTTAAACATTAATTTTCTACACTGATGGTACCTTAAATTATGCCCGAGTCATCTAATCTGATAGACTTAGTTAAGATATACAATGCGGCTTGAGAATCAAATTGAAATGCATAGATGTGATTTCGAAATAGATTTAACTCTTGAGTCTAAAATGATTTTAATGGTTTTTCTTCGCGAGACCCCAGATTTTCCAAGTTTCTAGAGAATGGCTTATCATAAAAAATTGGAGCTTTCAGAGCTTGTAGGACATACACTAAAAAGCATATCTATAACCTTAAAAACTATCCACACAAAAAAATGTATATGTGAGACTTTCCCGGCATAGATCACAAAAAAAGCGTGTTATGCTGCCTTGACCAATGAATTAGGAGCTTCTGAAAATCCCTGCAGAAATATCATTTTTTATTAGCTTGGTTAGAGCCTATTATGAATACATATTGTTTCTGTCAGCAACATTCTTAATTTTCTCGTAATAGACCCCTAAAATTTAGAAGAATAAGAACTTTGCCGGTCCTCAAAACTACCTATCTTAGCGGTCAGGTGTAATTTGAAATCCTTCCAAACCTAATGACTGAATAGTACTTTCGAAGACAACTGTCATTCGTATAAAGTCTTTAATTACCGCTTGTTTCTTGTTGGGGAAATTCAACTTTCAAAAACCCCAAGAATTTGATTTTTGTGGGGAAATTTCGATGCAAAAGAAACTTCCGACCAAAGACATTTTCGCTCAACAAAGCAATAGTCTCATACAATAGTATCTGCTCTAAAATTTGTAGCGTTATATCATTGAAAATGGAACATTTCTAGACATCAAGTTTTGGCTGAGAAGCCCTGAATTCATATTTCTGCTTATAGGTGCAAGTCCTATAAACTCCATAAATTCCATTCGATTCGCATGCAGTCTATGCTAAGTCTAATACGTGT